GGTACTGTATGATTTCACTTATATAAGCAATTATGTGAGTACCAAGAGTAATCAAATTCATTAAGACAAAAAATAGAATGGTGGTTGCCAGAGTCTGGGGGACGAAGAAAATAGGGAGAATGCTAAAATGAGGAATCGTTTTTGAGTGGGCACAGAGTTTTCATTTTGCAAGATAACAAATATTCTGGATATCAGTTGCACAACAACATCAATGTACTTAATACCACCTTAACACTTAAAAAATGGTAAAGATCAATTTCATGTTACATGTATTCTACCAATATTTTTAAAAATCTTACTTGTATCTTTTAAAAACCAAAGACAACAAATTTAAAAAATGGGTAAGAGAACAGCATACTACAGGGACACAGCCACACCAATGTTTATAGCAGCACAATTCATAATAGCTAAACTGTGGAACCAACCTAGATGCCCTTCAGTAGATAAATGGATAAAGAAAATGTGATACACACACACACACACAGGAATATTATTCAGCATTAAAAGAGAATAAAATCATGGCATTTGCAGGTAAATGGATAGACTGGAGAATAAAATACTAAGTGAAGTCAGCCAATCCCCAAAAAACCAAATGCTGAATGCTTTCTCTGATTTAAGGATGCTGATTCATAATGTGGTGGTGGGGTGGCGGGCAATGGAGGATTAGATGAACTCTAGATAGGGCAAAGGGGGAAAAGGGAGGAGACATGGGGGTTAGGAAAGACGATGGAATGAGATGGACATCATTACCCTAAGTACATGTATGAAGACACAAATGGTGTGACTCTATTTTGTGTAGAGAGATATGAAAAATTATGCTCCATAGGTGAATTATGAATTGTAATATATTCTGCTGTTATATATAACAAGTTAAAATTTTAAAAAATGAAAAAAATGGGTAAGAGATTTGAATAGACTTTTCTCCTAAGATGAGACAAACAGTCAATAATCAAATGAAAAGATGGTCAACACCAATCATTAGGGAAATACAAATCAAAATCACAAGATACTGTATCATAGTCAGTAGGATGGACAAAAGAAACAATATAGAAAATAACAATGTGGACAAGGAAGAAAAAATTTGGAACCCTCATACATTGCTGGTGGGATTGCAAAAATGGTATAGCCACTTTGGGAAACAGATGAGTAGTCCCTCAAAATGTTAAAACACAGTTAACATATGACTTAGCAATTTCATTACTAGGTATGCAACCAAGAGAAATGAAAATATACAATTAGATAAAAACTTGTATATGAATGTCCACAGCAGCATTATTCAGAATAATCAAAACGTAGAAACAATCCATCAATGGATAAACAAAATGTGGTATACCTACACAATGGAATATTATTCAGCCGTAAAAAGAACAAAGTAATGATATATATTACAACATGGATAAATTTGAAAACATTAAGCTACATATAAAAAGTCAGTCACAAAAGGCCACATATTGTATTATTTCATCTTTATCAAGTGTCCAGAATTGGAAAATCTTGAGAAACAGAAACTACATTAGTGGTTGCCAGGACATGTACAGAGCAGGGGATGAGAAATGACTTCTAATAGGATAGAATTTCTTTATTTTTTTTTTTTTAGGTGTAGTTGGACATAATGCCTTTATTTTATTTATTTATTTTTATGTGGTGCTGAGGATCGAACTCAGGGCCTCGCACACGCTAGGTGAGTGCTCTACCACTGAGCTACAATCCCAGCCCCAGGATAGGATTTCTTTTGGAAGGGATGCAAATGTTTTGAAATTAGATAGTAGTGATGTTTGTACAACCTTGAGTAGACTAAAACTCACAAAATTATATCATTTAAAGTGATGAATTCTCTAGGGCTGGGAATATAGCTCAGTTGGTAGAGGGCTTGCTTTGCATACACAAGGCCCTGGGTTCAATCCCCAGCACCACCAAAAAAAAAAAAGAAAGAAAGAAAAAAAAAAAAAGGAGATGAATTCTCTAGTATGTGAATTGTAAGTAATAAAGCTTTTTTTTTAATTTAAAAATGCATCCTTTGCCATGAAATAACTGCCATGTTTATTTGGCAGTGAACTGGATATCCAGGACCAAACTTTGAGGTGAGGGGAATTCACCTTAATACTTGAAAACATACCCCTCTGAACATATTGGATACCAGTTCTCCAAAGTAACAGCAATACAGACATTGCATAAAGAAGTCAATTCTATTCCATGATTTAAAAAAGAAATAAGAATAGAGAAATAAATTGGCAACAGATCAAGGATCAAGAGTAAAAAGCTGACCTGATTTCTACGCCTATACCCCCAAATATCTACTTCTGTACTTTAGAAGAAATCATTTTTAGCTTCCATTCCCATAGGATAACATATGGAAAATATGTATAGCACATACTGGTAAAACTTCCTCATTTAACAGCTTCTGAGTATTCCACTACATGGATGTAGATAATTTGTTAATGATCCTCTATTAGTGGACTATTAAAAGTTATTATTTTTCTGGTGCAATTGTGAGGCTGAGGCAGGAGGATCGCAAGTTCAAAGACAGCCTTAGCAAAAGCAAGGCATTAAGTAACTCAGTGAGACCCTGTCTCTAAATAAAATGCAAAATAGGGCTGGGGATGTGGCTCAGTAGTCCAATATCCCTAAGTTCAATCCCTGGTACTGCCCCCAAAAAATAAAAACTAAAAATAGAATAAACAAACAATGTAGATAAGCTGTTTTTTTTACTTGTGCAAATGTACCATGGGATTAATATCTTAAAACTGGGAAGTCTAAGATATATTTATTTCACATTTTGATAGATATTGCCAACTTGCATTCCCAAAATATTCAATTAAATGATTACGAGTTTTCCTTTTCCAATAGAAAGCATCAAACTTTTTGATTTCTGAAAATCTGATGACAAATGGTTCTTCACTATAGTGCTAATTAGCAATTTACTAAATTTAAGTGATGACATATTTTATTTAACTGTTGATGTCACTTATATTTTTTTCAAATGAATCGTCATATCATGTTTTTACCCATTTTATGTTGGATTTACTAGTCTAATTTATTAATTGAATAACTACACATATATGTGTGTGTGTGTGTGTGTATATATATATAGAAATTTGCCCTGTGCTCTCATATGTATTACAAATATTTCTTTCAGTTTTTCTTTTAATGTAATCTATACTATTTTTTTCTCTGCAAAAATTCTAAAAATATATATATATATATATTTTGTTTTTGAGGTAATAGAGATTAAACCCAGGGGTGCCTCTACCACTGAGCTTCATCTGCAGCCCCCGTTTTTTTTAAATTTTTTAATTTGTTTTAATTAGTTACACATGATAGTACAATGATCTTGACAAATCATACATTTGAATCAGATCCCCTTTTTTAAATATTTATTTTTTAGGTGTAATTAGACACAATGCCTTTATTTTATTTATTTAATTTTATGTGGTGCTGAGGATCGAACCCAGGGCCTCGCATGTGCTAGGTGAGAGATCTACTGCTGAGCTACAACCCCAGCCCCATCTGCAGCCCTTTTTATTTCTTATTTTGAGACAAGGTCTTGCTAAGATACTGAGGCTCACCTTGAACTTGCAATCCTCCTGTCTCTGCCTTCTGAGTTGCTGAGGCTATAGATAGGAGTAACTGCACTCAGCAAAAATCCTAAATTTTTGTGTTGCAAAAATACACTAATTTTGGGCTGAGGCTCTACTCAGTGGTAGAGCGCTTGCCTAGCATGTGTGAGACACTGGATTCAATTCTCAGCACCACATATAAATAAATGAATAAAATAAAGGTCCATGCATCTAAAAAAAAAAATACACTAATTTTTTTAATGGCTTCTGTGTTTTTGTCATGTTTTAAAAAGTCATCTCTATACAATTTTTAGAAATAAATATAAAGTATTATTATCAGTTCATAAATGTATATGTAAAATTTATTTAGGATAAAATTTAAGAGCTTCTCCAAGGATGGGGGTGTATCTCAGTGGTAGAGAGTCTATTCAGCAAGCACCAGGTCCTGGGTTTGATCCCTAGCACTGCAAAAATTTTTAAAAAAAAGCTTCTCCAACCCAAATAATTGAAGAGAATCAGAAAAGCTATTGTTTTCTCCACCAAAATCCAACAGAGTACTCATTCAAACAACTGACATTTAAAACCCAAGAAAATTCCCAATAGATTAAAAGAGCCAGATCACTAAAACAGTTCCTTCTCAAGATTACACGGCTTCATAGTTGCTATACTTAACCATTCCTTAGTGATTTTTTCCAAATAAAATGTGAAATACTCAACTTGAGATTTCTAGAACATGCCCACTGTACTATTCAATTACTCTCTCCCTTAATGAACTCATCAATAAATAACCAGTTAAGGGCTGGGGATGTGGCTCAAGCGGTAGCGCGCTCGCCTGGCATGCGTGCGGCCCGGGTTCGATCCTCAGCACCACATACAAACAAAGATGTTGTGTCCGCCCAGAACTAAAATAAATAAATATTAAAATTCTCTCCCCTCCCTCCCTCTCCCTCTCCCTCTCCCTCTCCCTCTCTCTCTCTCTCACATCTCTCTCTTTAAAAAAAAAAAAATAACCAGTTAAGTTAGTGTGAATGTCATAGATGCTAATGAGAGATGCAAAAAACTTAATATGAGAGATTCTACCAAGAAGAGCTCCTTTTAGATATCATGAATAAAATAATATAATAATTACAATAATACAATAATACATAATTCACAAAACACAAAGTAAATTTAAACATTTTTTTAAAACTTTTTAAAGGGCTGGGGATGTGGCTCAAGCGGTAGCGCGCTCGCCTGGCATGCGTGCAGCCCGGGTTTGATCCTCAGCACCACATACAAACAAAGATGTTGTGTCCGCCGAAAACTAAAAAATAAATATTAAAAAAATTCTCTCTCCCTCACTCTTTAAAAAAAAAAAAAGATTTTTAAAGCTTTTTCCCCTAAGAAAATAATGGCAGAGAAAAATGTGATCCATTTGTAACTAAATGAACAAAGTCAACTTACCATGTGTGGAGCACTGATTGTTGCTTGGAAACCTGCAAAACAAGAAGAGAACCACTGATACATTCAGTTGTGAAAACATAACCAAATATTTTGTGTAGTTCCTTTTCTAACATCCATACGTTGCTTTTCACAAAAATTCTTTTTTATTTTTAGAATAAGCAAAACAAAACCCAACATTTGTACTGATACATAGCAGTTAAAATCAGAAAATATTATCATGAGAAAAGGCTCATCTAGCAAAAGAGATCACACTATTTCTAAAAGTATTTCTTTTTTTAAAAAAAAATTTTTTTCGATGAGTAGACCTTTATTTTATTCATTTACTTATACATGGTGCTGATAATCGAACCCAGTGCCTCACACATACTAGGCAAGCACTCTACCACTGAGCCACAGCCACAGCCCCTCTAAAAGTTATTTCTAAAAATTATTTCTTTTGTAGGTTTTTTTTCTTTTTTGGGGGGGGGGGTGTTGTTTGTTTGTTGTTTCTTTTCTTTTTGGTACAGGGGATTGAACCCAGTCACATCCCCAGCCCTTTTTATTTTGAGACAGGGTCTTGCTTAGTTGCTTAGGGCCTCAGTAAGTTGCTGAGACTGTCCTTGAATTTGAGATCCTCCTACCTCAGATTCCTGGGCCACTGGGATTACAAGTATGCACCACAGTGGCCAGCTTCTTGTATTGTTTTTTCAGTAAGCTGAGAATTGATAGATTTTATACTTAATTTTTCCTTTAGATTTACTTTTTTGGTGTGGGGGGTACTGGAGATTGAACTCAGGGGCTCTCGGCTACTGAGCCACAGCCTTATTTTATACTTTATTTAGAGACAGGGTCTCACTGAGTTGTTTAGTGCCTTGCTTTTGCTGAGGCTGGCTTTGAACTTGCGATCCTCCTGCCTCAACTCACAAGAACCTGGGATTATAGGCATGTTCCACTGTGCCCCCAGCTAAATTTACCCTTTTTTAAAAAAGGACTTCTATATATAATACATATGCAAAAAAAATTGAAAAACTAAATTATTTCAAATTTAAAACAACTTAAAAATAACTAGGCTAGAGATAAAGCGTAGTGGTAAAGCTCCTGCCTAGTAGGCACAAGGCTCTGGGTCTGATCCCCAGCACTGCAAACAAACAAACAAAAAAACCCTAGATAATCAAAGTAGCTTAAGAGACTAATAAACCATTCCAATTTACTTTCTGTATTATCACCTAATGTTAATTCATACTCATTTTTGGCTCTTAGTTTCTTTTCTTCCAGTGTTACTTTCTCAAAACTTATTTACCTGCTCTGCCTCTGAAGCAATTTTCACTGAGCGGTGGTAGCAGGTGCCTTCGGGGTTCAGAAGCTCCCCAGGATCTTCTTGCTGACTGTCACAGTGCTTCAAAAGAAGACAGAATGGCAGCTGGCCGAGAGAATCCTGAGGCACTTCTAAGCCTCAAAGGCGCCCACTGCCAAGGCTCAGCAGTTCAGCAAAACCTGCTTCAGGAGAAGGAGTTAAATATGGAACTTTCTAAAATATCCGGGAAAGTAAAGCAGAAAAGTCACTAATAAATTAATTACACTTATTTTCTTAATTATTGATTTTAAAAATTAAGGCTAATATGAAAGAAAACTCAACATTAATGCCCCTGGAGAAAACAGTACTCAGCTACAACTAAATTTTCATTAAAAGTTTTCTTTTTCATTAAAAAATTCTAAATATTTTTTCATTCTTTATTACCAATATACATTGGGGGAAAAACCAGAAAAAGATATATCATTTCATTAAAATGGATTTGTTTGAGATTATGAGAGTTACCGAGTCATAAAACTCAAATTGGCAATATGATTATAAATACATGTGTCCTAGTCTTACAAAAATTAGAGTAAAAGAAGGAAAATGTGACATTTTCGGGAATCTAAAGCTTACCTATTGATTGTGGAGAATCCATATATGGGTTACATTTTGCATAGTGCGAGCGGTCTGTAGCCAGCATTACTTCAAATACTTTATCTGTCTTGATGATTCCATTTTCTGAAACGAATAGGGCAAATATTTTAAGCAAAGAGTGACATCATATGTATTTCAGATTTATTACTCTGGCTGTACTGTAGGACTGGACTGGACTAGAGTAACCTGGTCTTTAATAACACTAGTCAGGATGGGGAAAAGTAGAAGGTGGTGGTGAGAGTAGGGATAATGGTAGAGATAAAGTCATCCAATGATTTAAGAAACTCCGAAGAAGGATCAGAGTTGAGGAGAAAAAGGAAAAGATAGGAAAATAATTCAGTTAGGGGCTAAGGTTATACAAAGTGAAAGTATTCAGCAACGGGCTGGGCACATGGATCTGGAGCTCAGAAAAGAGATCTAGGATAGAGGTATAAGTTTCTGTTTAGATAGATGGCAACTGAAGTAATGAAAGTGAAGTTAAAGTAGCCAGGGAAGAATACATACAGAAGAAAAATGAAAGCCAACATTTGAGATATGAAAGCAAATGGAAAGGAACCACAACAGAGGTAGGATAAAAACCTGGCTGATATTGCTGTAAAGTCCAAAAGCAGTGAAATTTTCAAGATTATTTTATATATATATATCTATCTCATCTGGCTTCCCCAACATTTAGTTCCTTGAGATTTAATAAATGTTAAACTTCAATAATCCTCATGGTACCATGCAAATAACTAATGCTCTCATTGACTTTTTCAATATGCTAGCTGACAATGACATATCAGACACAACACAACATGCTTATAGTATGATTATAATAAATAAGATAGCCTACTTCCTGTCATCACAGATTTAAAATCTGTTAAGAATAAACAAATGAACATGACTTTAACAATTCAAAAATGAATGAAAAAGTCAATCAAAACATGCTTTGATTAGTTTTGACTACAATATGAATGACTATTTTATATGAGACTACTTCAGGAAAAGTATCATGGAAAGTCTAAAATGCTATACAAACTAACACAACTTATTCATCAATTACGGCACTTTCAATCTCGAAGGTAATAGCAGCCACCAGAATCTGAACTTCTCCACAGAGTTGCTCAAAATACCTAAACATAGACTAAGAAGGGGCTCAAACAAAACCACACAGGATCTACACCATCACATTACTAAGAGACAGAATATCCAGACTTTAAATTATCTATAAATAGAAAAAAAAAAAGTGCTCTTGCTACACTTGAACACCTGTGATCACAGACAGCAAAAATGGGGATTCAAGTTTAAGTTTCTAAGAGCCTGTTACAGAGACACACTCCTACAACTCTAGCTACTCTGGAGGCTGAGATAGAAGGATCACAAATGTGAAGCCAGGCTTGGTAACTCAGTGAGTCTCAGGATGGGGATGTACTCAGTGAAGCATCCCTAGGTTCAGGTGCAATCACCAGTAATGGGATGGGGGGAAGTGGATCAGGAGCTAGGGTTGTGGTTCAGTGGTAAAGCATTTGCCTAGAGTATGTGAGGCACTAGGTTTGATTCTCAGCATTGCATATAAATAGAATACAGGTTAATAAATAAATAAATTTTTAAAGAAGATTATTGTGTTAAAAAACTCAATGGGTCAATAAAGGGTGTCAAAACTACTCAATAATAAATAATCTTTTTCAACAAATAGTGCTGGGACAAACGAAGAGCCACATGCAAAAAAATGATGTTCAACTTTTTCCTCATATCATATACAAAAATTAATTAAAAATTTATTGAAGACCTAAATATAAGACCTAAACCCATAACACTCATAGAAGAAAATACTGGAGTAAATCTTCACAAACTTAGATTTGGCAATGAATTTTTACATATGGCAACAAAAGCATCAAAATTAAAAATTTGTACTTCAACAGATACCACTCAAGAAAGCAAAAGATCTGCATGCCTGTTATCTCAGCAACTCAGGAGGCTAAGGCAGGAGGTTGCAGGTTCGAGGTCAACATCAGCAACTTAGCAAGGCCCTAAGCACTTAGGAACACACTGTCTCAAAATTAAAAAGAATATAATAAAAACAAAGGACTGGAGATGTATCTCAGTGGTAAAGCACCCCTGGGTTCAAACCCCAGTACCAAAAAATTAAAAACAAAGAAAGCAAGCAAGTGAAAAGATCACTCATATAGTGGGAAAAAATATTTGTGACTCATATATTTAAGAGGGTGCTTACAGCTAGAACATGTAAGAAACTCTTACAATACAATATTAAAAGACAAATAACCCAAATTAAGAAATATGCAAAGGATCTAACCAGATATTTCTCTGAAGAAGAAATGCAAAAAGCCAATATGCACATGAAAGCTAGACATCATTAGTGAAAAGAAAATGCAAGTTAAAACCACAATGAGATATCATTTCATATTTGCTAGGATAGCTATAATAAACAGTCAGATAATACACCAGAAGTGGTGGTAGGAACCTATAGTCCTAGGACTACTTTAGCCCAGGAGTTCAAGGCCAATCTGGACAATATAAGAAGACCCTGTCTCTTAAATAAAATAAAATGTGTTGGCAAGAATGTGAAGAAACTGGAACCCTCATGCACTTCTAGTAGGAATATAAAATGGAGCAGTAACTTTGGAAAAACAGCTTCTCAAATTGCTAAAGACAGTCACCATATGACTCAATAGTTCCACTCCTAGACATACAGAGAAGTGAAAACATATGACCACATGTAAATTTGTACATGAATGGTCCCGGCAACATTATGTAGAAAAAACAAAGCAAGAGGTGAACTGGGGATGTACCTTACTGTAAAGTGCTGGCCTAGCATGCATGAGCGCATGAGTTCAATCCTCAGAACCACAAAAAAGAGAATAAGCAGAAGATGGAAATATTCATCAAAAGATGAATGGCCTCTGGTAAAGGTTGTATAAACTAAGTTCTAAGGATTATAAATTCAAAGCCAGACTGGGCAACTTAGAGAGGCCTTATCACAAAATAAAAAGGGCTGGAGATATAGCTAAGTAGTAGAGTGCCCCAGGCTCAATCCCAACTACTTAAAAAAAAAGGTTAATTTATGCTACAACATGGTAAACTTTGAAAAAGATTATGCTAAGTGAAATAAGTCAGTTATAAAAGAACATATATGATTCCATTTAATGAAATGTCTACAATCAGCAAATTCATAGAGATCAAAAACATCTGTACATGGTGGTTCATACCTATAATAAATACCAGCTACTCAAGAGGCTAAGGCAAGAGGATCATAAGTACCAGGCCAGTCTGAGCAATTCAGTGAGACCCTGTCTTGATTTTTTATGAGGGTGTAGCTCAGTGGAAAAATGCTTGCCTACTATGTGCAAGGCCCTGGGTTTAATCCCCAGTACTAAGGAAAGGAAAAAAAAAAAAAGTAACTATTAAGTTTCTTAAGAGCAATGAGCATTTTTAAGCAATTTCAGGAAATAAAGCACAAGTCAACAATTAAAAAAAAAAAAAGCCAGATGCAGTGGCACATGCCTGTATTCCCAGATGCTTGGGAGGCTGAAGTAGGAGGATCCCAAGTTCAAAACTAGCCTCAGCAATTCAGTGAGGCCCTAAGCAACACAGTGAGACCCTGTCTCTAAATAAATACAAAAATGGGATGGGCATGTGATTCATTGATTGTCTCTGGGTTCAATCCCCAGTATCAAAAAATAAAATAAAAATTGATAAAATTCAGTCTGATTAAATCTTTTTTTTTTTTTGGTACTGGGGATGATGATGATGATTGATGATAATGATGGAGGAGGAGGAGCTTTATTGGGCCATCACTGTGTGTTTTCCAAAATTTCATCACAAGGTTGTTTTTATATATTTTTTTTAACCCATGACCCCATGTTTTGAAAGATGCTTAAATCAAAGAAGATTACATTTACTAAGTTTTTAAATCATTTTCCTGTTTTGGGTCATCTATGATATATATAACTATTATTCCCTCAAATGTTTCTATCAAACAATAAAGTAATTTGATGTTTTACTTTGCATGTATAGCCAAATTAGAGGTAAATGTGCAATATCATTAGGCTTTCAGAAACAGTGACAGCTTGAGAACCACCCATTTGCAATCTGCTTGCAGCCCTAGGTTCTGAGGACCCTAATTAAATTGTTATAGTAATGGATAATGGTCCAAATATACAACTGATATAAATGAGTAGTAGGATTTTAAAAGGCACATATAACAGAATCCAAACCATAAACCAAATAATTAAATGTCTGAAAAAAAACAGTGTGTTTCTAAGGTTTCTCTATCCAACTTGAGAGGCAGTTGGACTTGGTGGTGCATGCCTGTTATCTCAGTGGATAAGCCAAATTTCAGGGGGAAAAAATTAGAAAACTAAAACATGGCAGGGTCTCAAGCAACTGATAAAGTGTTTTAAAAAAAGGAAAAGCTTTTGACTTTCCTCTTCAATAGCAGAGATATATGTGACATGAGACACAAAGAATGTGGGCTCCACTAGATTTCCTGTGTAAAGGATTATGCTATCTGCAAATAGAAGGGCAGTTTACTTCAACCTGTAAGATTACAAGCTCAGCAGTGTTAACAGTCATAAATATTAACAATGATTACTGCTTCTCAACTTTTTAAAATTAACAAAGTGCAGAATATTTATTTACTGCTCAGAATAAAATATAAATACTATCAACTTTTGTAAAAGAATTGCTAGTGAACTGGAAAATGAGAGAGGGAGTTCCCTACTACCCTTAAAAAGTAGAAGGGTTAAGATTAAGAATTAATGCCTGTTCATACATTATGGAACAAGAAACAAAAGTATATAACTCAAGAGTTACACAAGTAGGGCTTAGGATGCTCAGTGGTAGAGTACTTGCAAGCATGCCTAAGACCCTGGGATCAATTTCCAGAAGAAAAAACAAATTCCAAACATAGACACAAGCTGGGTGCAGTGGCACATGCCTGTAATCCCAGTGGCTCAAGAGACTGAGGCAGGAGTTCTAAGCCAGTCTCAGTCTTAGCAAGGCCCTAGGTAACTTGGCAACACCCTGTCTCAAAATAAAAAATAAAAAAATAAAGAGAGTTGGGGATGTGGCTCAATGGTTAAGTG